ACATTACTTGCTTACACTGGCCCATAGCTCCTTTAGTTACTAGTTAACATTCCGCATCTGGCTAACCATAATTGTTTTCCCCCGGAAATGATAAAAACAGCTGTTGATTTGAAATGAAACTCATCTCCGAGTAGACTTTTGTCTGTACTCCAAGATTATTTTACTGGTAGAACACACTTCACGAATTTTCTTGGCAAAATTTCTGACTGGCTGCCGGTCGATTCAGCGGTGCCCCATGGTACAATGCTGTCTCCTTTTCTTTTCTCGTTCTATATTCAAGACCTATCCACTAACCCGGATGACCTCATCAAGTTTGCTGTTGATGTTACCATAGGTTCCAAATTCCTTGGTGATTTCCGTTTCCCACAGCTTCAAACCAGTTTATCTGCCTTATGCTTATGGTTTTCCTATTCCAAATTATCTGTCAATGCCTCTAAATGTAGGGATGTCACATTCTGATTAGCCAAAGGAGAACGGTTGTATTCTCTATGTTGACAACCAGTCTGTTCCCCCATTATGTTCTCTGCAGTACCTCGGTGTTATTATCTACCAAGATATCACCCGGACATCACATTTAAACTCTACTTTTGAAAGTATACGACGATCGTGTTTATTTCCCGTTTGCGATCTTTAAAAATTCCACTGTATTTACTCACCCGATTTGTATATTCTTATGTTGTTACTCATTTTTACTGCTTTCTTTTTTTAATTACACACCTAAGTGTGCTGAACAGCAGACGGGGTGAACCCCATAGTCACAAAGACCTGCTGTTCAGTATTAGTAACTGGCATCCTAAGCCCCGGGACTTGGAGTGGAAAACTACATAAGGCCCCGTTAGGTCAGGCGCGGTATAGAACCGGACAACAGCAAAGCTGTTTAGCACCAGAGTTTGGTGGCGGTGACGGGGCTGGGAACACAGGGCCCGAAGCACGCCTGTGACAGCGACTAAACCACTGTGCCACCGCCACCCAGTTTTATTTTCCGGTCTTAGAGTTCAAGGCTATACAGTTCTACGTCAGTCTCTTAAAATTATTTCGCGCACAACGGTATTCCTTATTTACACTTGCTTGATTTTATCGCCAACCAATATTTTACCTCCTGCGAAAACGTCTGCAATAATATTCTATCATACATCGTTCACCTATTACCCACAACTGTTTGTATCCATTTCTTTAGCTGTGTTGTTATAAACTGGTGCATGCTCCTAACCAAATTTTTCGAGATTACTGGCACAAAAAGCATCCGTTAGAGAAAACTTGAAATTCCCACGTAGATTATATCCATTTTCAAAGTCATCTTGAACTTACGGTGCTGTATTGTACTTTTTCTTTGTGACTGTATGCGATTATGATTGATCCTGGTGTGCAAGGATCTGAGAATCCATCCATTAGGATGAATAAAGCGATTTGTAACTTGACTGGACATAGATAACGCCCATCCTTAAACTTTTATCGCTCCGGCATAGCTGAGCCAGCGTATGTTCGACAACAATTTGCTGCCATAATTATGGAAACAATGAATAATTTAACCTACATACAGAGGCAGCTGTCGTCGTGACCCACTTAATTACTGTCCTGTCACTCTCCCTCCCTTATTTTCCTGTCATTAAATCCATTTTCACAAAGTTTCTGGTGAGGCATTTGGAATAATAACGTATTATCCCCATCCAAACATAGGTTTCGGTAGAAACCATCGTCTACCACCAATTTTTCTTCTAACCCGGAAGGAATGTACAAAAGCAGTTGATCAGGAAGAGGCAGGGGACGTGGTGTAGTTTGATTTTTCCAAAGTATTTGATCACCCACTGATTACTACAACGGAATTGTGGAATACGGGGCTCATGCTTGGTTGTATCGAAACGTTTCTTGGGCGGCGTTCCGTGGCACTTCGGGTTTTGGGGTTACTATCTTTTCCTATAAACGTAACCTACGGGGTTCTGTTCTTCTTGCTTGTCTTTTTTCGTTTTTATTAACAATTCATCGGATATTCCCGGACCGCGAACTATGATGTTAGCAGGTGATGCAAAAATCTGGAATACAGTCGTGAAACCACAAGTTCACTGACTCTTCAAAAAACAGTTAATGCAGTTGATCAAGCGTCTGCCGAAAATGGTGTCAAATAAAACGCATCTAAATGTACATCCATATCCCTACACCACAATAGGCGGTTCCCTTATTTCATCAGATATCAACAACTAACACATACTTCAAGGAATAGGAACTAGGCGTCATTGTTCGAGAAAACTTAAGCCAGGACTTCTTTCGCGTCTGCTATCATCGTACATTCAACCGAGCGCAGAGAATACCATGCAAGCCTTAGGCCTCCACGTTTATGGTCTAATCGTGAAGCTGAAACGTCCATAAAGGATAACCGCTAAAATGGCCAAAGGATTTCATTCGTTTACCTATGAGGACAGATTATAACCATCGGAATTACATTCCATTCTATACTGCCGAATTCTAGGAGACTTGATATTGGTGTATTGGGTACTATGGAACTCAAACACTGTCTATCAATATCCACCTCAGAGGACACCCCTAATATTGGTGCTTCGAAAATATGGACTGGAATAATTACATTACTCTTTCGCCGTCCCAGTGTGCACTATCTCAGTAGTAGCTTCATGCAAGGTTTGTGTACCGGCTTTCAGTTGCAGGTATGACGATTTCATGACATGTCTTACATTTCATCATGGACCAGTAAAACTATGAGATGATCCTCATGCACGATACTGTGAACAGCGTGCACCGTACCTCTCTGTCCGGTCAATCAATTTATTTGTGCCTGAATCCCGATGAGATAAGAAAATCAACGCTATGTAAGTCTTTTTGATGCTAAAACCTTGACTTGGTTGACCTCCATGTGGTTTCCTACGCTCAAAAACAATCACAGGTAAGACTGTTGGTCATACACAAAATGTGTCGTAACGAGTAAGATCTACGCATCCGAATTATTGGTGACAAAGAATTTTCTGTTGAAGCACTTTCAAATACGCGATGATTTACTTCAGTCCTGCTCATCTGCTTCCCCTACCTGTGCCAGGATATTTAAATGTCGATAGTTGAAAACTCTCAGAGACGGATATCCTCTGCATACGGGCCCGGGATTTCGTCGTCATAACGCAGAACTGACTGCACGATGGTAGAGCAAGGGTAATCTTTAGATTGCAAAGTAACGTTATATGCTTAAGGTCATCGAAATAATGACCCGTAAGTTCCAGATTCGAACCACCCCATCGCCGCCTATCCTCCCTATTTTTGTACTTTCATAGGCAGCCATTGTATGGCTGCGACCGCCTTCCTGAAATTCGACTGTACATTGATATGTTAATAAATAAAGAAGTTTTAAAAACACAAAGTTTGTTACACTTCAGTTTACTCGATAGAACCTATCGAATCACGTGATACTATGCAAGTTAAATAAGTGTTTTAGGCGCTCTTATTCTGAATGGGGAAATTCGGTATCGAACCTAATCCTGGGTCCTTTTAGCGTTACTTCATTTGGTCTACGAACCCGAGGTTACCTTTCTTGTCTGCACACTGAGCACGGATTATCGCATTTTCAGTATAGCGTGAACGTTTGGTACACCTTGAAACCGCTTTCAGCACTCCTATCTCTCTATTGCTTCATCTGAATGCGCCGCCGCAGGTCAGATATAAAAATCACTGCGGGCAAGTGCACAGTTAATGATTTTATAGACTGAAGCTGGTCACACAAAGTAAAGCTCTTTTCAAGGCCTGCTGTCCACAATGCGGATCTCGATTCAAGGCACCGAAAAGAATAGACTGTAATTTATTAGATTTTGTTAAAATTTTAGGCCTTTCTCAACCAATGTGCGACACCAAATAATCATCAAATTGCAGCTGCAAACGGAAGCACTGCATGTTAATGGTACGCCCTACTCGTTGCCTTCTCGTGGCGGGGGTTTCCCACCAAAGTGAGAGGACTAAAAGCCGACATCCGAGGCTATAACCGGGTTGGTGGACAACTGGCAGTCCCCTTAAAGGAGTTGGCCAAAAACCCTGATTCTAAACCAACCATGAGGAGGCGTACGAATCACACTCATCCACACTCTTCTCGGTGTGACAGTGGTCACCAGCTTGATTGGGTATTGAGGTGTATTGGGAACCTTGGACGTTTGACCCCGTCCGAAAGGCGTGTGATCCAATGAACTGGACATTGGCCCCCAATGGATTACGGTTTTCACACACCATCCCGCTGCCTTGCGGATCAGGCTTTGGCTAGCCGAAGGCTCCAGTTGTGGATTCCCCAAGAAAATTCACCTGCCTTGGCCTGGACAACCTGGCGATATTCAGCCCATAAGCCAATCATGGAACGTTTTTCTTTCTTATAAAGATTATTGTACTATGATTTGCCTGACACAATCTGTCCTCAGACAAGTGTGAAATATAATATAATTATTTTATGGTACGCAGCTACGCTATTTTTCAGCTCGAAACCACGCCCATTGGGTCCGTTGTGTTTCGTCGCCTCAGGTAGATTACCATAAGAGAGCAGTGGACCTTTGTGATCCTGGTGTGTTCCTCTTTTTGCTATTGATCACGCACCATTAACGTGATTTTCGAATTCAACTAGTAGAGATAAGCCTTCTTTTGTCTTGTAATCACTTGTTATGCGTTAGTGATAGCGATCCCTCAATATCTACTCATAGTTGTACTCTGGTCTGCATCCCACACATACATGCAGACGAGTTGGATTTCCAAACACAATCGTCCGGTAATAATAACTGTATTAGTTTCTCTTGTAGCGATACACACCTTTGAACAACAGGTCCTCGTGACTATGGGGTTTACTCCGCCTGCTGTTCATCACACCTAGGTGTGTAATAAAAAAAGAGAAAACGGTATCGATATCAGGACGTCATTTTACTATTATGTGTTCGAAAAGACAGACAGAGTAACTTGGCTTTTTGTATAAAAAGCATTTATCCATGCATTAGTGTGATTAATAAATTATATCTCTGTCACCTGTCTCACAGGTGGCCGAGTGTAGACGGGATTTCGCGATCGAAGTGGCCAACAAGGAACTGGACAACGAATTGAAAGCGGCTCAGTGCATAATGAATGAGCGATTATTAATCACTGAGGAACAGATACGGAGACGATTGCAAGAAAGCATGTGCCGACTTCAAGTGGAACGAGCTGCTATGACTTTACACGCATCCAGTGGAGGTAATTCCCTTGTACACTAGTAATTATTTAGTTGGTGAAGACTATTTGTTGCCACCATGGCTTTGTTATCCGCCGGTTTCGTTTCACAAGCATCCAGTCAGTTTTGAGCAATGAAATTCATTAAATTGTTCTTAATAATGGTAACCGCTAGACTTGAGTGTTGCCATTCATTCCCGGTTTGTGGCACAGTAACCATGAGGGTCTACAATTCGTGTTGAATACTTTTAACACTTACCTGATGATAGTCGCTCAGCTAATGTGGATGACGGTTGTAGGTCGCACAGCCGATACAGATAGCTTCATTTCCTTATCGTGGTCCCTATTGTAACAACTGCTGCATAACGCCGTCCAGGTTCCACATCGAGAAAATCTCGTTCTTCTGGAAGTCCTTTTACGGGAGATTCGGCCGATCGATCGGACGCACCAACGCGAACCGCCCTGGCCACATTGGATCCCAATCTCTACCTACCCAGTCCGAACTTGGAGCCCCGCAAAAAACCAATCACTCTCTCCCCCACAACTCCCCGCCTGGTATACCAACTTTCAGAGGAGGATATCCGCGCAGATGTGGAGACAATCATGGCTGCTGTGAAGGTCAGTGCCATAATTGAATCAATTTTCCGATAGTTTACTAGTTTCACCCTTCATCTGAATAGAACTAAGGATAGCCAGATAGAACTGGAATTTTTTCATGGCTTTATTTTATGTTCCGTTTCCCTAAACGATTGCACTTAGTAGTACAAGCGAATAAAGTCAACAATGTACGCACAATGCATACCGGACCGTGCTTTTTTTTCCAAGTTTGCAAAATTCGTAATCTTCACAACCTTAATTCCGGTATGGAAGCGCTCTCGTGACGTACCGTAGTAAACAATTTACCCTCAATCAATGATAGTTTCTAACCAAAATGAAGTTTATTTATTTAATCTTTTGCCGAAGACCCTTATTCCTAAGGTTTGGCTACGTAATCATTCCATCTCTCGTTGCGTTACAGGAACACAAATTAGCCCTGGCTATGGCCGAAATGAACGGTGGCAAACGGTTATGTTGACTGCATTTGTATACTCATCTACTTATCTATCTTTGTCTAATGCGATTATGTATAGTCAATGTGATAATTTTGTGAAATATGAACAAAAATCCGTTTGTTCTGTGCAGTCAGTCTTTTTATCTTAGCTTAATGATTTGATGAATCTGACTAATTTTGCAGTTCATTGTTGAACCATTATTCTTGATAGATAGATTGCCATGGCTCATTTGGGGCAGTGATAAACGGAAAAAACAAAACTAATCCACAGTATTCAATTTGTGCATTGCAATACGGTTAGTGTCTTCGAACTTCTAAGCGAATGATCAGCTGCAGGCACCTAAAAGCTATTGACACCTGTTGCCTTCTAACCGCGCTGTTGACAGTACCACGTAGCTGTATCTCACCAGCAATCCCAGATTGACTGCAAAGACAGTGAGTGGGACGAGCACGTACTCTGTTTCTCTTTAGGAGCAAGAAAAACAACGCCTCACAATATGGCGAAGACATCAAAACAAGAAAATCGCAGAACTAGTGGCGAAGAAGTAAAAATAACGGGNAATAACGGGCAAATATTGGCTGATATGGGTTTGAAGAACTTAAACTTCATCTTCCGATTGTGTGACACCTGTTTTATTTGTTGAGGACTTCCTTCTTTTCTGCCTACACTCAGTACTCAGTTAACATAAGGATTACTTCAATTGTGCGCACTGCAGCGTCTGATGTGAGGCAATATCATATCCAATCCCATGAATGAGGCTAGAAAAGCTAAACATTGAGAGTAACAAATGTGATAGAAGTCAGGGTGTCAGAGTTTGCTCAATACCGGTATATAGATATAGTGATCAGCATGATTTCCGTTTTACTAATAAGGCAGCTTTAATGAATGGTACGGGTTTCCCGTGTGCGCTGAATAGCAGTTAACATTCATCAAATTATTAAATCTTCATTGCATAACCAAGAGGAGAGGGTAACCTATCAACTTAATAATCCCCATATGTTATATCCCGAAATTCTGTTCACTTCCATCATTTCACAAATTTTAACCACAGATAATTGATTCAAATGTAATGACGGTGTAATTATTCCCAAGCTTCAAAAACTACTATTGTTGCCCCAAACAGACACAATAGCTGTTCACAACCACCGTCTTGTTCTAAGGAAAGCCTACCGAGTTACGTGTTGCATGGCTTTTAGGTTAGATATTAGAATCTCTTCGCTTTCAACTCATTCGAAGTGTCCGGTGGTAAACCTTCTGTTTTATATCATTCCAGGGGTGGTGGTGGTGCGGTGGTTTAGTCGCTGTCACCTGCGTGCTTTGGATCCTATAGCTCGAGGTTCGAGCCCCGCCACCCAACTTTGGTGGTAGGCAGCTTTGCTGTCGTCTCGTTTAGCACGACGCCTAACCTATCGGGGCCTTATGTTGTTCACCACTACAAATCTCGGGGCTTAGGTCATCGGTTGCCACCACTGAACAGCAAGTCCTCGTGACTATGGGGTTCACCCCGTCTGCTGTTCATCACACGAAAGTGTAATAAAAAAGTCCAGTGGAGTTAAATCGGCTAACCGCAGTGGCAAAGGAAGTTTCTTCCGGCCATTCGGTGACTACATTCGTGTTGTAAGGTGGTGCTTCATACGACTAAGGTAAAACCACAGTAGGTAAAAGTGTATTGAGTAAACTGTTGCGGTAAGAAACAAGCGTCTCCTGTAACATTTTCAACCAAGGTGAAGAATTCATTTTCTTAGGTAAATCACAGATGAGTAGTCGTTAGCCCCGGATTTTGCGCAACACACTCACTTTCCTTTGACATAGTCTATGACGTTCACGATAGTTTTCCTTGCAACCAATTTTACTTCGCTGAAACACTTGATCTTATGCAAATAAGGCGCTGACGCATCAGGGTAAATATCTGCGCCATGTTTGTTGTGAATGATCCGACTTTGAAAACGATCGCAAGACAACAACTTCCGCTGATCTTTTTTGACATACGGAGATTGAACTGGACAAGACGAATATATTTGGTATCTCTTCTGCTTGAACATAGTAACAGTAGGGCGGTGAGGCTGATAGTTGAATTTTGTATTTACCTACCGATACTTACTCAGCAGTGCTCATGTCTAGTGGGAACATCGGGTGAGCAATGACGACGTTCGTCGTCGTGTGTTGGGTGCGGACACTCATTTCCTAATGGGGGTGATAATTCTGCACCTCCTCCGATGGCTTGGTCACGTTTTTGGTATGCCTGTCCATCATCTGCCTCTCTGCTCTATCTTGCACGTGCTGGAAGAAACGTCGCGGCGGTCGGATTATAACACGGCGTAGCGGTATGCGGCTTCCGTTGGTGTAGCCCGCCTTTCAGTTTAGGGCCCAAACGATGAAGATTGTTGTTAGTCAGGGATACTATGAGAGATCTACTCCAGAGTAGAAGTGTGGCACGTATGCTGTACAGTCTGCCAGTTAAAATCTTGAGCCCCATGAAAAGCGACTAACACAAACATATCAAACTGTCGGAAAACAAAAAAACGTCCTCCTCATTCTTGTGTATTGTGTATAACTTTTGCAAGCACTGGAATTCACATTTCGGTTTAAAAAAATCATACACGCTAACCGTCACAATGTGCATAAGCAGCAGGGAGAAGAGTTTATACAGACATGGGGACATTTCATAATCCAAGGTTAAGACAAACTCCACTTATTGTCCGCTTTTTGTTTATGAGTAGACGAGCAAGATACGGTATAGGTGAATTGTGGTAAGAGTTAATTCGAAATTAAATTTGACCGAATTGGGAGTGTGTTGAATGATGACAACGACAGCGTGTTAGCTCTGCTTGCAATGGGTGGTTAGGATCTGTGAGAAACCTCTCAGCAAATCTCACACAGGAAGTTACGTGATACTCTGAAAGCTTAAAGCTAACTCATTCGGAGGAATAGAAGAGACACGACTAATAATTGTTAGACCGCGGCGTAAGACTGAAATCCTGTTTCAGTAAATCAGGAAAAATAACTGAGGAACAGTAGAGTAAGATTGGGAGAACACACTGATAAACAAAGGTAGAATTAACTGACTGGGATGCGCAAAACTGCCTGAGCTTTCGAATTTGAAATGATAGGCACCGCAGTTTACCAATGTAGTTGTGGATGCGGGTTGACTATTGAAGATTGCTATCTATGGTTACACCAAGATATTTGACAGAGTTCTACCTGGATAAGGGATTGTTATTAATCACCGTGGGGTCTGTCGGATATGGGGAGCGAGCAGAACTATATAAACAGTGAACACATTTACTGGGGTTTAGAGTTAGCTCCGTTCAGAAGGAGAATTTGATCAAGATTGTTGGTGAAGGAGCTCAGATCAGAGTAAGAAGAAATGGGTCATCACAACACGACGTCAGCTGCATATCTTAAAATTCGTGCTGGAGAAACACAGGGAGTATCACAAATATAAGTGGCAAATAAGTATGGGGATATCATAGCTCCTTGAAGGACCCCGGAGATGTTGACTTAAAGTTTCGATGTGGCCTTCTCTAATTCTATTGGTAAAATAGTTGGATAGCCAAGCTAATAACTGCTTGGGACATTCAAACGATTCCGGTTTTTGTAACAACTTGGATCCAGGAACGGAATCAAATGCAGAAGAGTAGTCCAGAAAAACACACCGAACAGACATAACAGAGCTGTTCAAAGACTTCGTGATAGAATGAATATGGGTGGAGATTGCGTCCAAGGTGGATCTATTCGGCTTGTAAGCAAACTGTAAAGTATCAGTGAGAATGTTTATAGACTGCTGAAGGCGTTTGACGATGGCCTTTTCAGTTAACTTAAGAGTTGAAGATGTTACTGCTATGGGACGAAAACGTTTGGAGAGGATAGAAGGTTTGGATGCTTTGGGGGTTGGTATGGTTGTGACCGGCCTCCAACAGTCGGGGATGGTAGTGTTAAGAGATTCATTGATAATGAAGGTAATTGCCCCAGCTAGTGAAGCAACACCAAATTTGAAGAGGGCTGGATGTAAGTTATCCTAACCTATCGGGGCCTTATGTGGTTCGCCCCTCCAAGTTTCGGGGCTTAGGTTGCCGATTTCAACCACTGAACAGCAGGTCCTCGTGACTATGGGGTTTACCCTCGTCTGCTGTTCACACACCTAGGTGTAATAAAAAACATCCGGGTCTGCAGCAGATGATGAACTGCAATTATATAAAAGTTTGACACATCACAATATGAGAGTATGCAGGAATAATGTCCGATGACTGGCACAGGAATGCGGCATTGAGATCAGCATTCACATCCATCTTCGACCGTCCTTTCTTTTTTCCACAGAGAAGTCCTATACATTGGCACAGATGTGTGCTATTTCCGGTCCTCAGAATTCGATCAGAGAATAATGCGTTCAATCTATTTACCTCGACTTTGATAACCCTGGACAAATACCTGACAGCTGAAGCATCGAGATTAGTACGCACGTTCCCTTTGTCGTCGCATCGACTTTAGTAGGGGAGAGTTTATTCTTCTGTTGGACACATGTAAGCTTTGAACGGGGCAGCAATAATTATAAATGCCATGGATTGTTTGGGTAAATATTGGGACACGTGAATAGAGAAGATGATGAAAACCATAAAGAAGCCTGTCTGAGTATCCATTCAAGAGAGAAACACTTGTAGGTGAGAAGTTTGATTTGCTCAGATCGGGAGAAAGATTTGTATGCATTGTGTGAATTAACGTCTGACCGAACTAAGAGTAAGCAATGGTCACTGGAGGAATTACGTGCTTTTAGTGCTAAAGAAAATAGGGTTGGGTGGATGGTAACTACTCAACACAGTATAGAATTACCTCTTGTGGGAGAGTGACAAAGATCTGTCATACCCCAATGATAAAAGGGGATTAGTACTAGTATGGTTAAAGTCACCAACGATTATGTGCAGGTTAACATCTAAAAGTTGGGCAAAAAATGGTATGTACGAGTCAAAAGATGACATCATCGGACTGTGCACAGCAAAGAGCTATACACGAGTGTTATGTAAAAAGA